ATGATGTTTTTTTTTCGACATTTTTGTTTGCAGTTTCCCTCGGGCTGCACTGAGACTCGGCTAAATAGAAGGCTCAGATACAGAGCTTGGGAGATGAATGCAGAGGGTAATGGTAGAGGAGTTGGGCTAGTGTTGCACAGCACTTTATCACTGGCAGACAGTCGAGCCAAGGGGCAAATCAACCAAAATGGAGCGCTTTGAATTCCGCTGAGCTCCCTTCCCCAATTCTCATCACGTCACTTATTCAGAGTCACTGGATTTCCCGCTTCTACGCTTTTAGACTTCATTTTCCTCAGAAAAGTTAATAAAACGGGATAGGTGAGGTTCTAGCTAATCGGATACCTATCCTCTTATGCTGGAGTAGTCACCGCGAGCCCTGTGCTGTTCAGAAGTTACTTAATACCGCACGAAATTATTCAATTTCTTAGATAAGTTTGTAGAGGCAAATTTAGCGACGGAAGATTGCGCTTGTCAGCCAATGAAGTGAACAGAAAAAGTGACAAATAAACAATCAAACAAACAAATATTTGATTGAATAAACTCATTAGTAAACAAATTGCAGACTGGAAAGTTCTTAGATTTCTTCAATGTCCTCACCTTTCTCTGATTCCTTGGAGTATCAATACTCATGCATTTAGGAGTATTCTTCTCATGCTGTATGTTGGTGATATCGGCTTCTGTGGTGTTTACGGTGCTCATTTTAAATTTGCATTTTCGAAGTCCGGACACGCATGAAATGAGTCCAATTGTAAGTCGCTCCTTCAACGGCAATTTTCCCATGTCAGTCAATCTTCCTCTACTCCAAGGCCACTGAAACGGCATCTCATTCGTTTGAGTAGAAAAAGAGGCAGCTGGCTCCTACAATAAAAAAACCTTAGTTGCAAGTAGTACCACAACTCCAAATAAAGACTACTACGCTGCGCATGACCTCGAATTAGAGCATATGCGTGACACGTTCGGTATACATCTGGTCACCGTTGAATGTTTACGTGCGCGAAAACGATTCAGTTGTTCATTTTGCCATGTATGTGGCTCCCACACGAGTTATGAATGAGTCCCTATCTTTAATGAATTTATAAAGCGAAATGTATGTAGGAATACGAATAAAACATTAGGGCGATATTTTTGGCTGTACGGATGGGAAGTTAGCCAGCAAAAGCGCTTTTTCATCCCACTTGGCGTGCTAAACTTGATATCTACCCACCACAAGTGGACTTTTTTGCATGCCTTTCTGAGTTTGAAAGTCTTGGCTCAAAAACGGTCGAGAGTAGAATTGAGCTACTGCCAAATTGCGAGTCAGAAGCTCAGTAGACCGTATTCTTATGTCCAGCCCGTCTTTGTTAGGTGTTTGGATTTACCAGAAATATAGCTCCCATTTCAGGACCACTGAATAGTTCCACTACTGCGTTGCCTTTTTATGAGGGGCAACACAAAGGTGGTATAGTTGCGAGTGGCGCACTATCCTGCACGCATGTTCACCGGTTCGGATCTTTGATCGATATCCGAATACAACAACCGAGTCCTTCATCCCTCCCGAGCTAGTTAAACGGTACCAGGCTCGCCTGGGAGGATACATTAACATGTACATCGTCTAGCCACCGCAAGTCATTGCATAGGTCACACACGCATTCAATACTCGACAACGATTCTTAACAAGAGCCGTACGGGCGGCGTATACCCCAGAGGGGATTGGTTTATGCCTAAAGACTTTATCATCTTCACTCTGAACCTTCCTGACGACTCAGATATTTTTTCCTACTTTTTCTCTAGCTCAGCAGCTCTTCAAGGAAACTTCGGCAAACGGGAAGAGAGCACTTGAATCCTGCTTATGAGGACCGTCAAACTAGTCGATGAATAAGCAAAAGTCGAACACGCGTTTCCGTTTTCTATCAGACTTTCACGTTGGAGAACACTTTTTGACCATGTGATGGGAGAACCCTATGTTTTGTTATTGTCCCTGAATCCGTTGTGGGTTACTTGACTCTGAATGAGGTACAGAGTGGGTCTTAGATTATCTTTTCCCCTCAACTACACAATAAACAGTCAGGAAAAGGAGGGTGTACTCTCGAAAAAGACCTATGATCCTGGAAAATTCGAATACCCATTAAAGATAGACAGACAACTAAGAATACGGTCGTCTAAAATTTCGGCCATGCAAACCTCTACTAGCTTCATGGCATATAACGATTTGTAGCTCGAAAATTCCTTCCCTCAGCTATTCAAGGGATAACCAGTCTGGTATATTACCTCTGTTGAAGCTATGGTGCTTCTAAACCCCCATTTCAGCCACTATGTTCAAAATGTCAATATGTCCTTTAGAAGGGCTTGTCAACAAGGTACCTTCGCGCAGGCCCAACACTCTTCTTTGCTAGTCCTGAGCTACCCTTCTGAATTATACAGCACCTTTCATCGCCTACCGTGGTGGTAGTACGCTGAAATTCGAAAACAATGTCTCACTCCAGTCCCAAAACACGATTGCCATGAATTTGTTGGCTTTGGTATCCCTTGAATTCTACGTTACCCGTTACTTAGGATGTCTGGGACATGGTTCTACTCCCTGGATGAGCGATAAGGTTCACTAGTTTTTGAAGGAGCCGGTATAACACAGGCATTGTATTAGGTTGAGTCATAAGTCATTCAAAGTGATAGTGATGACTTCTAGAGATCATAGCTCGGGAAAGAGGGGACGAAAATGAACGCGCTAGGCATTGTCAGATAGAGATTAAAAAGCTCTTCAAAATACATACTACCGAGTGCACCTGACTCACTCCTGCGCTTAAGCGTGAGGAGAGAAAGTGCAATGTCGGCGCGAAAATCCATGTCATACTGCTTCAAAGCANCTTCAATCCACGAATAATTGTGGGCTGACTCCCCAAGGGTGGCTGCCAGTTCACGAGTAGTTTGATACGGATCGGCTTCCACCTGGCTCCGCAGCACCTCCACATCCAACTCCATTGAGTCTCGGACGGTCTTCATTTTCGATGGAATGGTCGTTCGACGTGAACTTCTTGTGCCACTTGCGAATTGTGCATCAAGCAGGAGCACCCGTCTTGTAAACTTCCTTAATACGTCTATCGATCTCCGCTGGTTCTTGGCCAGATAAAAAAAGAAATAGGATGGTGTTGCGGAGGTGAAGTTGCGACGGCTAAAAAATCATGGGGCATGGTTGCAGGAAAGGAAACAGTTAGGTGTGTTCATAGCACGTATTTCGAAGAGCTTTTCATACTCTATCTAACAGTGCCACGCGCGTCCATTTTCGTCACCTCTTTCCCGAGTTATGCTCCCTAGAAGTCATCGCTACCTTTTTGTCCGAGGACTCAAACTAATAGAACCGCAATAGCGTCTATAGGAACGCAGCGACCGATATCTCTATGGTGCGGAAAATGAGACAGAAAACCTTCAACTTTATGCAGACGTTGAAAGAAATGAGACCGTTCGTATGCTCAAATGCGGTTATTTTTATTCTAAAGGCCATGGAATCTTGCGGCAATTAGAAAAGCGCTCCTTCAGTGTGAAACTAAATGTGAAGTCATATATAGTGTTGAATATGAAACTACCTACCCCAAAAATACAATTATTTTCAGATGCAAAAGGTTTTCATGGAATGGTTGCCATGGATTCTGTGTATGTCCCGTCCTGGCTATACATTCATAGGCGGAGTAGCCATTGCAGACGAATTACCTCCATTGAAATCAAAATTGGAACGGCTACCCATCGACGAAATTCCAGCTAGGAATCCTGTTATCGAAGCCCAACTTGCACTTTTGCATAAGGTTTACGAGGAAATCTCCGAGGTATGCGTACAGTAGCCGACAGCCGGCTACAAACCGCGTTTTTTTCTCCTTCGCTAGTTACGTGCCTACGCTTTATAGGCCATACAGAACCGGTAACGTGGCTAAAGGTGGTCTAAACCACTTTGGATGGTGGAAGACTCTTGAAGAATAGCCAATTTGTACTTTTGATTGAAAAAAACGTCTTAGTCGGCTATTCTTTCCACGAAACGGAACTCTATCTATACCTTGGCTAATCCAATTGGAAAAAAATACTAAGCAACGTTTAGACGTCGATGAAATCCAAGAGAAAATATATTCCCCTACGTTTCTAGTACGAAAACTAATGAAATTAGAAAGGATGATGAAGCTTCCAGTATGCGCCATGCACCCAGCAATGTATTGTACATGTATGTACTATATAGAACAGCATGATGTAGCGATGAAAATACTTGTTGGGCAAATCACAACTCAACCCCATCCACTTCAATCTTTCCTCTTTGCTACCATATGTCACTGATAAAATAAAAAANGACAAAATTGAAATATCAACTGATGTGCCTTCGTTTCTTTGTAGAATATGAATGCATGGCGCAACCATGCAAAGTATACTACTGAGCGACGAGTCAAATATATTTTGAGCTCTTGAATTCTTCAATCCCATTTTAATCGGAAGTTTCTTAAACAATTAATTCTTACCTCCTCGCCGTCCGATCGTTTGAGTTGGATTCAAAGGTCATTTCTGTAGCCTTGAGCAGCTCAAATCGAGCGCTTGGCCCACAACGTGATCCTAAAATGAACTGTATTTCTGTACTTCTGTGTATTTTTCCGAATATGGGGAAGATAGAAAAAAGGAGTTGAGTCAGGATCAAGCTATTCCACCTACAATTGCTTGTGTCCCTGATCACCCTTTCTCCATTTTGAGTACCAACTCCTTTGGCAAACTACGGTCGGTCCCTTCCCATGGTACTCCATCGCTGGATTTTTCGCATAAGGTTCGATGAGACTCCCATTATCCATTGTTCGAACTATACCTCATGCCCATGCACAGATGATCTTTTTGATAAAATATTTTTAAATCAAAATTCTGAACTGACACCCTATCGCTCACTGTTAGCCAGTATACCGTTGTATAGTCTACGACAGCTCACCCTAGGGAGGAATCCACACTCACTTCGAAAGGCTGTGTTGGAACAAAAATAGCGGCTTGATTTTGAGCGATATTTTATATTGCCCAACCTCATAAATCAAATCAGCCCATTCCTCTTGTATGTCCGATCCGGAGTAGATTTGGCTAATCTCTACCGCCGGATGTTTCCGATTAGATGTCCAGGTTCCTGGATTGCTTTGAACAACAGTCGATAGTAGTGGAGAAACTCCATTTCTATCCATTAAGTTTCTTTCATCGATTCTTTTTTCTAGCTAGCTTCGAGGTCAGGAATGAAGACTTACGATCCCGTCTCGCGATAAACCTTTTGAGTAGGAGGTTTTCTCGACTTCGGACCTTTAGGAAGCGACTCCTGTTGCTTTTTCTAAAATATTATATCCAAGCTGGACCAGATTCGTGTCTTCGCGATATGCGATTCACCCTTTCAACAACTTAGAAGCATTGCGAGCATTAAGGTGTGAATCACATTTGGCCTTGTAGTTGGCCGTAAACTTAAGGGCACTACGCCCCGACCATAGCGTGCTATAGTCTAGCCATTCCTAGATAAAAAAAAATGGAGCAGTTGTGGTTGTTGCATCGGGTCAGACTATTCAGAAAGGACGACAAACGCCAAGTCCTTGGTTTGTCTTTGGAATCGTAGAGACAATGTGACGAGTGGCAGATATACCTCTACTCTCTTGACGACTAAGAAGCGTAGCCAGGGTTTACCATTATTTTGAAGACATCGATTTAGGATTTCCCCTCCCCTATCTTACAAACAGATGCAGCCGCCTGGGCACTGAACTTTGTGAAGCTTCTTTCCGTTTGAGGATTCGGCTTGGTCAACTGGAGAGGAAGCTGTGTCAAACCAAAACTTGGACAAATCTTCAAATCGTGCAATTAGCCAGGGAAAACACGAGAAAATTGAATTTCAGCTCATTCAAACCCTAGTTTCGATGCTCCAAGCATCGGCTGTTGAGAAGTTTAGCGGCTTTCGAATGCAGCGTGACCCTACGACTCAACAGTTCGAGACAGTTTGTCTGAGAAAGCGATCCCGAGGATTTTCAGCGTTTACAATCCAACTCTGCAACTTCTCAAAACTCCCGTTTCCACGAAACGGCTACTCCTGACATCCGTCACATTGAGTATCGTGACATTTGCTAGGTAGCCGATAAGCGCAGGTAGTTCTGTTATGGGCCCAGAAAGCTGTCCCTGTCTCCTTCTACACAGTGCCCTTATTCTCCTTGTCTCCTACAACAAGGCTACCGTCGAAGAGAGAGAGGATAAAAACGAGCGAAGATGGTCCTTAAAAAATTCCGAACCATCGAAAAATGAAGGAATGAGGTGGTTAGAGGTGTTTGTGCGACACATCCCTGCCATCAAATCCTTTCTATTCCCTGCCATCAAACCCTGAATTTCTCACTAGAAAGACTGGTAAAGTGGAATGACTTCTTGAAGTCGGATTCAACGTGCCGAATATACCCAAACTCCCGTGAATGAATTCAAAACATGCGGCAGTACGTCATGGAACAGCCTCGGATTAGGAATTTTCCCAAGTTCTGTGTCCGTGTGTTGTAAAAAACGAGGAAGTTAAAGGAAAAACAGGATCCTGACAGCCTCCGTTCCTTCTCCTGGCTCGTTAAGTTCCGAACAATAAAAAAAAAGCAGCCAGCGAACTAGTGAAATTCATGGAACCCGTTGGGCGTCAATTCCAAAGCGAGAAAAGTGGATAGTACAAGCCGGCTTGAAATGACATCTTCCTCAAATTCGACATGGGCTAATTTTTTGGCAGAAGATCTCCGAACATGTCCCAGAAAGATGATTCACTGACTTCACCGCCATTTTTTTACGTCTTAGTCATTTTTTAGGGTTCATTTGTGAGAAACTTCCTTGAATTTTCTGAGTAGACAAGACCCTTAGGAACCTTTAAGAAAAAAAGCTGTGGCTTGACCCTGGGGCCGGCTTCTCAGGCCCGTAGCCGTACTGAAATCGGAGAATGTAGTCTGTCAGCGTAAGCCAAAGGAAGGGAAGAGCAGAAGGTCGAGAACACAATTCTTAACGGTATATGGCAACGTTTCTCAGCCGAGAAAACATAGTTTTTCACCCAAGCTGGAGCTCCGTGATGGGTGAGCCAATTGAATGTTCAATTCTTGTCTCGTGCCAGCTTTCTCCACGATGTCATCATCTCACCCACCTCGATGTTCCTACTTGCTTTATGCTTAAGCAAAGAAAATATATTCTCCGACTGAATTTGTCCCTAAGCGGTGTTATAGGCCTACAAGGCCGATATTCAGTTTTCCCAGCTGTCCAAAACTAAAGGCACTGTGAGGGTTCCTACCCCACCCATCCTACCCAACTACATTTTCACCTATCCCCGAAATCACATAAGCGCTGTTTGTATTGGTAGAACATGTGTAAACTTCGTAAATAACAAGCCTAACAAAACCTAAATCACAGTTAAGTGGTTAGATGAATAAGATCGACCACTGGAAAATGAAACATAGTTAAATAGATAAGAAGAAGCCGTTTCAACAGAAAAGCCCTACCAGTAAAGCTGATGTACAGCATTTGTGAAGCTTGAGCCGGCTTTCATTAGAACGGACGGAGAAGGACAAACTAACTTTTAGAAATCAATAGCAAAGAGAGTGGCTGAGTGCATCGACAAGGTAGATCACTGATGAGTACCGTATACGGAAAGAGAAAACTTTAAGATCACAAAAGTTCAGTGTTTTCCGATTCGACGTACAAATCCCTCTATGGAGATTTCTATGTTTATTTTGGATATAATATTGGTTTTCTCTATGAAAAGTGATTTCACCAGCAAAAAAGGAATAGCTCCTGCCGGATTGAAGATTGGCAGAAAAATTTGCACATTCGAATTCAGAAGTTAAAGAGCTCTTTAAATAGAGGTGTAAACCAACTGAAAACCTTGAGAGAAAGTCATTTTGGTGCTGGTACTGATGAAAGAAAGCTTTCCTTTTGAGTTTGTCCTCTCTCTGTTCACCCCACCTCTCATTCCATATTTTTTCCTGAACGAAATAATTCATTGACTGATTTCATGTCATGGGCTATAGGCATATCCTGATCCCGTTGAACACCATGGTAATTTTTCGTTCGAAAACTAAGGATTGTCGAAAGCCTGGGCTATGAACAGAGTGGTTGGTGAGTTAGGATTTTGTCAAGTATGTTTGTTTACTGCAGACTACATGCCGGGTAACTACTAGGTTACACCCACGGGAAAGCTTTCCAGTAGAAGTGACCTTGAAAGCTGTGAAATCGCCTAGTTTTGGGAGTTTCTGAGGAGAGTTACTGATGTGGCTCGATATCACCTTTTTTTTCGAGAAAACCCCGGTTTTGTGAAGAGGAGTTCGTGCCAACAGAGTTTTCAAAATCGATCGGAGGCACAACCGGAAAGAAAGGCTTGCGTTTATTCATTTAGCACAAGTCCTGCACTGTATATCTGCATTGTAGTTTACGTTTCTGTTAATATTTCCAAACTCAGATCCCAAGTCCATTTTTCCATTAGGATGTCTCCCGACAGTTCATCATCGAAGGCTTCACAAGCCGGCTTGCATTATCCATGTTTTTGCTTAGTGAAAGCGACCTCTGAATGGTCGTGAAAAATTTACGAAGTTCACCAGTCCAATCCGTTCTTTTTTTCTGAACGTTTGAACTTTAACGGTTTCTGTCGCAGCTTCCGAACATCCACAGACGAAAAAAGCAAAACCTGACAAAACCTTTTTTCTGATGACCCAGCTGCTCAGAGTGGATCTAGGCAAGGCTGGGAGTTAGCCTGAAACCGTTTGAAATCATTTAGTGCCACTTTCCCAGTGTTTTCGTGGTGGGATCCTAGGGCGGGATTCGAAAATCCCCCAGGAAGACAATCTTAGTCAGCCCCCCATCGTGAGAATCCGCCACCTAAGCCGGTCAGCCGTAAGGTACCGGTGTGAAGCAGACAAGCTATGATGCTCCTTCCAGGACGAGGCATTGGCGTATAACGGCTTGAGACAAAAAAAAAGAGGTTCAGGGGGCCAGAATTAGACCATATCTATAATTGACGGTTCCGTTCATTTTTTTCTTTGCTTGTGAATATTTTTACTCGAATCGAGGATGCTAGGTTCCAGTTTTTTCTTTTCTGGCTAATTCCGTTCAAACTGCACAATCACATCAACTGCTAATTTCCTATTCTGATTCCTTAGCAGGTAGAAGTCCTTCCGTTTTATTCCTTTTCAGGCTCATCCATTTTTCACAATGCACGTGATCATTCATGAAAGGCATACAGTTTTATCGATAGGCTGGTGCTCCACTTAACGATGTTGGTAGATTTTAGCTCAGGCTTCTGCTTTTTTTTATTATTTTGATATCCCTCTTATGGTAGGCGTCCTACATATGTTCCTACCTGAAATACGGGTTCAAATTTGCTACACTATAGGCTCGATTAATAATTTTCTCAAAAATTCGACGTTGCAATTGCTTAGTTGGTAAGTTACCAGTAGCGTTTTAGTATGCATAGTACAGGTTCTAGAGAAAGAAATGCAGCACTTCATAAGAACACGCTAGAATATTCCGACGACTAGCAAAAATTATGGGCAATTTGTCAGTTCGGGAAAAAACCCTCTGTACAAGCTGCGGACATTCTAGGAACCTGTTCACGTTCGATGATGCTATTAGTAGGTTTTTTGAAAGAAAAACCACTCTATTCTAATACTATTTTTGGACGAGACGACCGCGGATTGTCTCAATTACTTGCCTGAATATGATATGTACCGGAACCGTAGCGGGGAAGCTGGAGAAGCGGAAATGGGAGGCGGAAGGAAAGTTGGGAGGGATGGGGGAGGGGGTAAAGAGCGGCTTCATATTATTCAGGTAGATATTCATAGATACTTATGGTTAGCTATTACTTGTAAGAGGGTTACAAGAAGTTGTGAGGGAAGGAGGGGAGAGGAGCAGTGCCAAGGGACGCTATTACTATAGGGTAGGTCGTTAGGTCCAGGGATATTCCCGAAACACCCTCTGGTGGTTAGGTTTAATTCCTCCCAGAGTCGCTGAATTGTTACAATTTCAATCTGGAAAGGTCATATCACTGAGTTGTACAGCAGCTGGCTATCATTAGCTAATGGATAGGCGAGTGCCCATTCAAACGCCACTGCCATCCCAATTGAAAGCCGAATCCATTGGGTACATTCCAGAACCAAGGCTGATCAGCGTCAAACTGTCAGCTGTTGTGTATTAGGAAATGTAAAGATACAGGTTGTTGTCGCCCTGCCGTGCCTGTGAAAGCNCCCCCCCCCCCCCCCCCTCACCTCCCCTACCCCTCCTCAACAATTTCACGATTTTGTTCACGTGTGCAAGTTGTTCGTGTGAATTAGACATCGAAACTAACCCGACTGCTAACTTTTTATAAAGAGAGAAGCTTGAAAACATTGAAGTTGGAAATGACCGCTTCCCACAAACCAGTTTTGACTGTCCGCAATACCGCGCGTGAAACTCAAAAACGATAGCTCTAGCCGGTAGACTCTTATTCTTCGGTTTCTGAATGGATACCGCTCGATTACGGGGCTCTGTTTTGTGTTTTTTTGCATGGATCGATAGATTTGTCTCCAGTCGATATCACAATATTGATTCCTAGCACAGCTCTGGAGGATGTCAAACCGAAGCTAACTGCCCTACAGTCACACAAGGATAAGTTGGTGATTTCACGACGGAAAATGGGAAGGCAACTATTCAAATGATCAAAGTGATGAGACAGTTTCACAAGCAGACCGACAGAAAGACAGACGGACAGACAGACAGACAGACAGACAGACAGACAGACAAACAAACAAATAGACAGATACAGAAGACACCAGACAGACAGACGGACAGGCCGGCAGAAGACAGACAGTCAAATAGGCAAATGGACAGATAGACGGACAAACATACAGACAGACAGGACCGACAGACAGGCAGACAAACAAACAAACAAACAAACACAGATATGAGCAATGAAGCGGCGACGGACGTTACTATGAGACATCATACCGGCTGTAGAAGGGTGACTAGTGCGCGGCGCATCCTGGATAAGCGGCTTAACGCCGTCTACTTTTTGCTTTGACTCTAAGGCTAGGGGATAGCTTGTTAGCGGCAAGTATCTGTGTCTAACTATCGCGTTTTCGATCCGGTTAGAAAGGACAAATCACATTTATTCAAGATGACATTGTAGGCGTCTGCAGTTTGCCATTGAATCTGTTATGGTCGATCTGTTACCGGCTGAAAAAAGACCGATAAGACCTTGGCTATTGTCTGCCGAAAAATCCTGTAACGCCGCTTTTTTTCGATTGTACAACTATGCGAAAAGGATTCTCTTCCATGCTAAGGGACTGGGTCTTCATCGAGGTGACGATTAGAATACTACAAAGCCATTCATCTGGCTCTTCCTACGAATGTAAAAAGTAGTAATTACCCAATAAACTTCGTAGAGCCCTATCTTCTCTTCTATTGTACACATCTTATTCTCGCAAAGAATTTAGCACAAAGAGAACCGGCTCCGTTGGATTTGTGAGAAGGAGGTGGGAGGAAAGGGACGGAGCAAGGTGGACCTCAAGGTATTCGATTCGAGATTCGAAGCATGATTGGATCAGAGGGTATTCGTGCCTCCTGATGTTGTCTTTCTTTAGCGTAAACTAAGGGGCTAGAAGATCAAGAGCTGAAAACTCATTATTGTCCTTTCCCATCAGAAAACCCTCAGTGATACCCTTTTCCGGTCATGAGGAAGTAACAGTTAAAGCGACAAGTCGTTATCGTGTGTTTATTTATGTTTGTATGTAGGAGAACTTGCATGGAAGACAAAAAAACAGCAATGATTAACAAACAAGTCCATCACGCAGCAAAAGCGAGAGCCGAGAGAGAATGATACATAGAATAAAGAAAGCGATGATTAGAAATGAAAAATAAAGGCAGGCCTTGAGCTATAGAAGATCTCTTAGAAAGTAGTCTGTCTGCATGGACATTTTCAAATCGCTCGGAATAAGACATGCACTCGCAAGGGGTTGAAAATTGCAGGAGTGTGAAGGAGTCTCCTAAGACTTTATAGGTATTNGGTTTACTTTTTTGTGCCTTTACAGAGGGGAATAGGGTGAGGAATAGCAGACTCCTGTTACAGACAGGTCCTTCATCCAACTTCCATTTGGAGAAGAAAATTCTTCGGTAGTTTTGTTCAAATGTCCTCACTTAAAATCATGTTGATCTAGAGGTAATTGATGGACACCAACGAATAGCTTCTGAACAACTTTAACAATAACGAAAAGGTCTCGGTCCTTCCCTCATCAAATGGATTCCACGAGGATCTGAACTGGTGACCGCAAAATTATGGAAGCTGCCAATAGTACTTCTGGTTCTATCGCAACTATCTTACTCTGTTTATTAGTAAAAGATCTCCTTTCGTTTAAAAGTGGTTTCCTTCACAGATCTGCGACTACTTGGAAAAAGAGGAACGGGAAGAACGAATCCAAGCCGATTGGAAATTTGCTGCTATGGCCGTTGACCGAGCATGCCTTATAATGTTTTCAGTGTTTATTGTATTGTCTGCCATCGCCATACTCCTCTCAGCACCTCATATTGTTGCCTAGAACATGTCCAAGCCGTCCTTGTGAAGGCTGGTAAATCTCAGTCGTTTATGTTTTCTTTTCTTGCCTCAAACCCGTTTTTTTATCAATTTGTTGTGTGACTTGTAGAAATTGATGAAAGGTTAATTAAAACAATTTATTTTCCTGTCTACATATATATACAGAAAATGAAAATCAGAGGAAGTGCAAAAAATTGTCCTATTTGCCAACAGGATATGCTCCTCCACCGCCTCCATATACTGGCATTGGTGGAGGTGGCGGTGGAGCTGCATAACCGCCGCCTCCTCCCATTGGTGGCAATGCATAACCGCCTCCACCACCCATACCTCCTCCACCGATCCTGAAACGAAAAATCATTCATTGTTATCATACCAAGATCCTAGTGTATGTCATACCAATATTTGTTGAAAACTTGGGAAGAACCACTATGAGTACTTACATTGGTCCGCCACCACCCATTGGCATACATGGCATCATACAGGGCGGTGGACAACAGCCACCACCACCTCCTCCACCGAATAATCCGGGGAAACATGCCAATGACGGTGTCACAAGCAGGAATAACGTCAGTAAAACGATCTAGAAGTAAGTTTTCGTGCAAGAATACAAATTAAAGCAACAAGTATTCCATCAGTGTTGCCAGATTCAATTTAGGGCCACACACCCTTGTTCTCCGACGGGGTGCTGGATATATCCGCCCTTCAGATGTGACCTTGGACAGATATGCACAGAATTAGGCAGAAGCTCATGATAAAATTCTATTCTGAACAACTTCCGGGGGCTGGGGTACTGTACTTCGTGAATATTCAATTATTCTAACGATCGAAAAAAGCAGAAAATTTTAACTGGTTGTACGTCTTTGCTAGCATGCCATCGCATCGTTATAGAAGCACCGTCACATCGGAAGAAGGAACCTTCCCACTGAGGTACTTGACCAAATCGCTAGGTGAAGTCTTTTGTGCCTTTATAACCGGCAGAAATTCAGGTAGGAACGGTAGGCATTGAGTTCCTACATCACCGTTCCCTGCTTCTACCCAAAAACACCTGAGAGGAATCGAGTCATCACCCCGCCTTGGACTGATCGAGGGTTAAAGCAACTCGAGCTGGTATATAGCCATAGTATATGAGAAGTCTACTGCGCGAACGATCAGGGGATTAAGTCTCTGATAAGCCTAACATTTCAGAGGTGAGTAGCGCTGAACTGATTCTGGCTCTGCTATAACACATGCTATTTAACATTTTCTTTCACTTTTCATTTTTAAGAAGGCTTGGAGTTGCATAGGCATCAACTGATGAACAATTGTGCCCCAATGGAAGATGTGCTCCCTTCATATGCCCCATAGTTATAACCTAACCACTAGGTGGTCCTAGATTGTCGCCTTTCTTGTCTGATATTTGTCTCTCAGAAATATCCTCAACTGAGTTTGCGAAGGCCGACTTCTTGTAGCCTTGGGCACACGGACAGGAGTAGGATGGTAGCACCTTCCTTCTATCCTCTCCCACAACTAATAGCAGCGTAAGGAATACCAGAGGTGAAGGCTTGTCAGTGACGACAATAGATACTTGTGGGTGGAAATGGTGGTGAAGATGGATATCAATAGAATCCGTAGGAGTACTTACGATAATATGTGTAGGACCGTAACCCAAGCAAAGTTCTACAGCCAAGCAAAAAACAGTGACCCTCCGTCTAAAATTGGACTAGGTTACTCAAGGGTAAACAAATATGATTCAGGCATACGGTAGAACCCTCTACATGACTAACAGATTCACATATTAACTATGCATAGCTATATACATAATATTTATTAAGTAAAGTCGTGTAGGAGGATACTGTAGAAGGACTCACCATAGCAAAACTATAAGCTTGGTAGTACTCGGTGCAGACGAACACGAGTTTAGTGAGTTTGGGCGACTTTTAAAGGGAATTCCTCCAGGTACCGCCCCTCGTCACGACGGGATCCGGACCATCTTTTTGTGGAGGCTCACGCTTAATGGCAGGATGCTGGGCGGTCGCCGAGCTTTTGCTGCTGGTATGTTGAATGAGGATAGCGATGGTGGTTAGAGGGTGTATAGTGTAAACGACCTAAGCCGCAAAATGTGAAGGACCTCGTCCATGTCCGGATCTCATCAGCATAACAACGATCATTTCGTTGTTGCATCTGAGCGTTACGCACGACCGTGAATCGCCGTATAATTTGACGCTCTCTGCCTATCCTGTGAAAAATCAACGGGTAAAAGAGGTTCTTCTATCGTAGAAGATTCTCTTGAAACAGGTTCGTCGTAGCCTTCTGAGGACTGAAAGGGAAACGCAAATCACGATTGCTGAAGTGCAATTGCCCTTCTTTTGCGGTGAGAGGTTTGTAGAGGAATTCATCAGAGGCGATCGCCTTCAATCTGTCTGAATTCCCATAACGATGAGGGAAAGTGTCCAACGATTCATATTGAACAGCCGACAAAAACGGTTTGTCTCGGCTGATGGGAATGTCTTGTATATGTCGAGAATTCGAATTGGACATTTCCATATGCTATCACCTAACTCTCAGTCTGGCTCGAAACTTGGTAGCCTTTCTATGTAATCACTCTAGGACTGGGGGATAGTGGAAATGTGTGTATTAAGCTGAGCACTCTGAAAATGGAAGCCGATAGCAAAAAGAGGACGAATGGTTAGAATGAAGAGAGCTGCCGAAGTTCACAATTTGCGTTGAGGATAGTTCAAACTTAAAAAGTGTAGAGGGCTGATGAGCTGGCTTCAGGGAACCCGCAAGAGGGGACCACGATTGGCATAAATTTGACGATGAAATGTCCATGTCATATACAAAAGCCACTCTCCCTTGAACAGTGTTCCGAGAAGTCGCCTAAGTTTAACTGATAATTATTCTTTGAAAGTCTCACAAGGTTGGCGATTTATGAACAAAACTTCAGTCTCAGAGGGGACTCGAACCCGTACTTGTCCTTCCCGGGAATTGTGCTCTTATCCCCTACACTACCGAGACCCCGGTTGCCCTCGCCTTCTTAATGGCTTATATGCCATAGCTCAACAGCTCTCTGAAAGCTCTATTTTTGCTTCGCCCGATCTAGGGTTGAAGCGCATTACTTATTCCTCTGTTTTCAGTAGTGAAAATCTAATGCCCAGGATTCATTGATGATTATTTGAAGTCTTTTCACAGCTCTCCCTTGAACAGAAATCTTATGCATATTCTTTGAAGTCACTTGGTGTACCCTCCTGTCGTTTACATAGTACATAGCCTCCCGAATTCATGGGAGTGAGTGTCAGCCTAGTTTCGTAGCCCCGCCAAATGCTTATAACGAATAATAAATAAAGACCACTAGCTGATTCAGTTAGGTGCTCCAGAGCCTGTCGTCGTTACCTAAGTCGCACTATATTGTTGTCTTCCCATCCGCTGAGACTTCTTTTGAACTCTTTTTTTTCGTTTCAGCTTTTCCTCCTGTGGACGGTCGGACCCTGCATTCCGATGACCGTATCCTTGTATGAGTTCCTATTGACGAATGCCTATCTGTAGGCTGTTGGACGAATAAAAATGAGTGTGTACTTCACTGGCGATGCTTCCTGTATTTTCGCTCAGCTCGAAGTCCTAGGTAGAAAGTGACTCTGACGTTCCAGTTCATGGCACTTCGCAATGGTTCGTGTTCATTTTTACAAAACGACTAACCAAATTGCGACTGTTTTGTTTCCTTAATATCGCGAGCATGACGAGCTCTCCACAAACCAGTTCCCTCATTCACTTATTAGCTTCAAACGTTCGTAAGAGATTACTCCTGATGGCTTCTTGACGCCGCAGCCGCCGAACAAGCTGATTCTGTTATATAGGTCAACGAGTCGGAGACTGTTTTAGAATGATTGAAGAAGTTGCTGCTGTCTACTACCAATCAAGCGAATGCCGTGAAAGAAGAAAATCGCTTATCGCTACTTAAGCATCTCAGAGCACTAGATTCGTCCCTGATTGAAGGATAGCTTCATGAGCTAAACTTCTTCAGAAGCTTAGTTTCACTGTCACAAGATTGGCGAGTTATGGACAAAACTTCTGCCCCAAATGGGACTCGAACCTGTATTTATGCTTTCCATACATTGTGCTTTTCGTCTCAGATATTACCAAGACCCGGCTTACTTTGGTTTTCCCAATGGATTTGGGCCATAACTTATTAGCACTCCCACGTACAACGTGATCAACCGGTCAGCCTATACTGGCATTGGAAAATGAAGCTGTAAGCTGCTCCTGACAACGTACAACTTAACTTGTTTTGACTTGATAGAACAAGAACATCACTTCAAGGTCGAAGTTTTGCACATTAACTTGCCAAGCTTGGGAGACTTTCGTATCGTGTATTCACGTGAAATGACAGCTGTTAACAAGAACATCAAGTCAAAACAAGTTGAAGTTTTGTCAATCGCCATTGTTCTTTGCGATTGTCCTCCACGGCGCAAAGTATGGACGACCTCATTTTTGAGGAAGTGGCTGGAATTTCAAGGAAAAAGTTAACTTCGTAACGTGGCCTTGTACATCTTGCCACACCAGGTTTTATGGTACGGAATTATGTGCGTGGATCGTTGCAGGAAATTTTTATTACGCCTGCAAAGGGCATACGGAGGAAATTAGTACAAGGGCACTATGAACAATCAAGTAAAACTACAACGAATTAGCCAACAGCCTACCTCCAGAATGTCACCATTTGATGGTTAGACTGTAAATCCGGGAATCATCAGACAACACCTATGCTTACCACTTCATTGAGGACCTACATACCACTTGAATCTGGCCAATGGTAGTGAGGCGAGCCCGGTTTTTACTATTCTCAGGTAGTCACTGTCAGCCATATATGTACTTCCTTATATGTACATATACAGGGTGACCCACATGAAGTGTGACGGGCAATAAAAAAATCAACTTATGGGCTTCTGGGCTGGGGGAAGCGGTGATCGCTTGGGCGGAAAGGAACGCGATGAACGTCAGCTGAACCTTCCACAGGATTGGGCACCAGCCCACAGCGCAAAGAAGATGCTGCAATGTTGTGAAACCACGCTTCTGGGTTTTTGAGGCGAAGCAGTTTTTACCTGCAAATTACCCAATCTCAGTCCTTTGGATTTTGTTGTATGGTCGATTCTGGAGCAAAAAGCCTGCGCTTTCAAACACATGTCTTAGGAACATCTGAAAGAAAGTTCTCTTGTAGAAGCGGGGGATCAAAGTGATTGCGCGCATTCTTGAAAATATCAGAATGAGGTTGGATGTTTGCATTGAAGCGAAAGATGGCCATTCTGAATACGAGATGTGATATGTTGTTAACAATTTTGTGATGATTGCGTAGGAGTAATAGTTTCCTATTTGGTTTGATTTGTATAATTTTGATGCTAGTTTTCTGCACCACACTTCGTGTGGGTCACCGTGTACATATTTCGTGCTGTTTTGAGTGGTGTTATCCCTAGCGCCATCCGCCTATCTTTCATTCGTCCGATCTTGAGTTAACTACTTTTTATTAATTTGAACAAATCTTGATTAACCGATGCAAGGTTGACTCGATTATGTCGTTGATGTTTTACTACACTGTATTGTAAGAGCGCACCGCTGCATGCATCAAAATAGATAAATAAATTAAATCATCAACTGGCGACGCTCTCGCGTCTACTAGTGGCGCTCAGCTTTGACGACGGCTCCGGTCGCCTACCGAGAGCGAATGGGTTGGCGGTGGATTTTTCCCTGATTGAGTTTTCCAAGATTGCCGATTCGCACTTACTTTTCATTCGGTACTGTTCTATAAGTAGTGGTTTGCTTGTTTCTTCTCTAAGCCCTTTTGGAAAAATCCGCGGCGCATTGCAAAGGCTTGTCAGTGGCGGCGCGCACGACGACGCCGCCTACGAGCGCCAAGCGCCATCTGTTGACGTACTCTGAAGGTGCCCTGATGTATTCTTCGATGCTGCCGCTGGTCATCCATCGTCCATCGCCTGCCAACGCGAAGTGTGGGTGTGCTCATTCTGCTAAGGTCAGTGTTTCAAAACCATTCCAGAAGATCGGGCGTTTTTCATTTCTCAAAAGATGCACCGAACAACTACCTGACTTTGTTTCAGGTGAGATAGTTCGGTGAGTGAAGAATGTTCGCAATGGCCTCTGATCTTTATCATGAAAGCTTCAGCTCTCCTAGAGGCAAGTCTGAGGTTGATCAGAGGTATGTGCGGTGCTTTGTGTGCGCCAGTATTTTTCTTATTCGTTACATCCTTGTATTTTGTTTTGCTTATGCTTAGTGCTGAGCTGGAAACACCTCTGTACTTCACTTCAGAGATCCGTTCGGCATATTCGGGAAGCAGATTCGAGATCAGTATCCAAAAGTCCATATGTCTCGTATCAAGTAGCCACTTCAACTGCCTCATACTTCTTCTGTGGGTTTTGCATGTTCCACCTTTGCAATGAAAGTGATCTGATCGGTTCTTATTCCCAAGGTTCGAGAGATGACCGAGATTTCTTTACAATGAACAGCCACAGCTTCCGGCGTAAGAACTGGGACAAGCCTTCACCTCGGAAGCCCGAAAGCTAATTTTCCGAATTTCGGGGACAGGAAGATAATGATCTCTTGGGTGTAAGTGAACGTGCTATCGTGGAGTTTTTTGAGCTTTTGCAGTTCCGAAGGCGAGTTTCTTCTCAGTCGAGATTTAAAGTTGATCTGTTTCGGGAGGAATCCCTCTTCCGTCGATTGCTCCGTTTCCCTGGGCAAGATTCAAATGATATAGATGGTTTAATTTGTTTCTGTGTTACTGGAACCTATTGATTTAAGAGCGATATTACACTTTAAACTATAAGAAGCCCCCACGATTAACTGCTATAAGACTGTATTTCTGGTGGGAACGGGCGTCAAGTTGCTAAAGGCACAGAATCCAAGAAAGGTTCCTAGATATCTTCCCAAAATGACCTTGTGGCATTTAGGTATGCTATATGTTGTCCTGTAGGACCAAAAACGGCTTAGATAGAAAGAGTTCAATGGTGTCCGTTTAATGCCATCTTAAAAACACTGTTCACGAAAAAGTGGTTTCGGAGATTTGCACATGGTTTGAATTCGAAGCCCCCTCTGATACCATTTGTGCAGGAATGAGGTCGGAAAACGGCTGGATAGAGCACAATAAGGGGCCGGAGAGTTATCCACGGTCGCCCTCCGCCCCTCGCTAGGCTGACTACGAGTTCAAATTGTCCTTCACCACATTCGCATTGGAGCGAAGTTGGTGAAAAGTCGATAAGCTAGTCGGCAAATTGCCAGAGACGCAATGTGTTGTCTGCTATTGCAACTTTTTTGCTATTGCAATTTTCATTTTTTGTGGGCTATGAGATCACCGCATAATTCTTATCTCACGATCGTCGATGATGTCTCATTAGTCCCTTATTGTTCACGGCATCGAGTGGGACGGCCACGCTGGTGAAACCGCGGAAGGTTGGTTTCTTCGCTGGAATATTTTGGTGTTCAAGTTTCTGGGAGTTGTTGCAACTGGGCGAGCGTGTTTGGACGTTTGGTCGGGTAAGTCACAGGTCAGGAGCTCCGAACTACTTTCAGGTCCTTGAAGACGACAAGTTGTTCGAAACGTCGACCTAATAAAGCGGTTTCATCATAACAAACCTGTACGGCAAAACAGCGTATAAACATTATGTGACATGCCCAGGTTTCAAGAAGACCGAAAATGGAAACTAAAACCAATTACCTTCCTCAATACTTGACCGAATAAATCGGACCTGGCACATCATTTATTAAGAAAGGTGCGAATTGAAATTTGGAGCGATCACTCGATTTGGTTTCCATTGGCCTTCACGACAGCCTTAAGGCATTTAGTCACGAGTCTATGAAGGATCGCAGGTGTTTATTTTTATTTATTTGAATACACCTAAGGATGTGCCAAACAACATAAGGGCATGGACTCTGAGACAATTCAAGTAAACAAAAAAGAAGAAGATGAAGCTTAGAAGGAAAAAAAGAGTCTCAAGACAAAGCCTAAGGTCAAGTACGAACATAGTACTGTGTTACTGTGAAAAAGAGCGAAGAAAATAGAAAAAGAATATCGCAGGAATAGTATCATCAGGGTGACACTAACACCTTCCTTATGTGCGAATGTAAGCTACCCTCCTCTGAAAAAAAGCATATCAACACGATCCTAATCCACGGTATCAAGACACATCGAGGGCGCTGCCGTGGGGCTTGCTGACTTGACCCTATACGAACAATGCATTATGGAACAAAAGCGAGTAGCCAAAGGAAGATTCATTGTATCAGAGGCTCCTCAAACAGCTGAAACGATAAAGATGAAGCCTACAGCATCATCGAATGCCTACGTCACTCAACCGACTTCTTGCTCCGGAGAGAGAGAGATGGAAATAGAAAGAAGCCGTAAAATAAAGAAGGAAATGCAATACTATCAAAAAACCTAAGAAAGAAATAATTTGGAAAGAAAGAGCTGCTGCAAACGAAAAAAAGCCTACGATAGACTACAGCTGAGAATTGATCGATTAGTAGTCTCCAAATGCGCATGTAATCGTCATATATGGATCAGTGGGACGGCAGTCGCTAGAGGTTACTGAATTGTCAGAAAGAAATATAAGTTCTCAGATATGTTCTGGAATACCTAAAGTGTACAAGAGTTCCACTTTGCTTAGTCTCCGCTCGAATATCTCTCTGCTCGGTGCTTGAAGTACCTTGGGCGGCAGAAGCTCTAGCCATCCGGCACGACGATTGAAGAGTTATTGAGTAATAACGAGTTGTTTAGATAGAGAACTGTTTTTCGAGGCGGTATTCGAAAAGCTAAGAACTCCTTCAAATGACGATCAATGTCAGAGCATAGAGAGATGAAACAGCGGAGAATGTGAATCCCGAATTAGTTTTCCTTTTTGGAACAGCGGTTTCTGTCATGCGGTGGGTATTGGATTTGACGAGGATTCGGAATTTCATCGGATGTTAGGTCATCGTAAACCACCTGAAAAGCCCCTGATAAACATCATAACATCATCAACGGGAGTTTATTTATCGAACAGCAATAGCCAATCAATGCCTAAAAAGTACTCATCGTGGGCATTATACAAAAACGCTCATAAAATCAGCAAATGGGGGGTATTTGACGTCGATTTCATCACACGCCTTCTTCAAAACTGAATTGAGCGAGTCGATACTTCTGTGGTGAGTGGAGTGGAGCAGGGGTCTGCTAGACCGTACCGAGAAGTCTAGTGAGTTGAGGTCGGTGGAAGATGGACGGTCATTCATTAGCAGGGATGAAGACCAGCAGTTTGACCGTGCACCAAGCCATGGTCTTCCGCGACTTGTACGCGGGCGCGGAGTCTTGCAGGAAAATAACGTGTTGGTGTCTGAAGTGTGCCTAGCTCGAAGGCGATAGCTCCTTCTTCTCGATGTATTCGATTTAGTTGTCCATGTCGACGAGAACGAGCGGAGTTTCCCGCTGGTGCACTCTCCTGCTCACACCATCACGCCAGCAGGTCCAAAAGATGACTTTCTTTCTGAGATCGGCCTGCTGAGGTGATGAGACAAACACTCACGTACTTTGGGTATTCGCCGCTGCCCCCACGGTGAAGAGCCTTTCGTCGGAGGAGACGGTTGCCAGGTGCTTGCTTCCTTTCAGCGGTCAGCGCAAGCATGGCTCGCCACGGACGGCCTTATTCTTCTCAGTAAGGCCACGACTTTTTCTGATCTCGTAAGGATAAAGTCCAAGTCCAGTGGTGTTTAGCAAATATGCTATGGATCATCAGGAGATCTTGAGATCCTTGGCCATTTTTCTCTGTTGCGACGAGTATTCTTGACGATGCGCTTCTTGACGACTCTTCGGTTTGCAGAAGTCGTTGCAATGGATAAAGGACAGTCGGCAGTGGTCTCATAGTACCTCTTGAGAGTCCCATATGTATACGGTTTGACGGCAGACGGAGAGCTCCTTCGCGGTGCGGCTTAAAGCATGCAAAATTCGCGACTAGAGTCCAAATGGATGGGGCTCGACCATAACTCCTGCCTCAATCTCAGCATTCACCAGAAAACAGAAAGGGAAAGATGAGGAGCTAATCCTCAGAAGATAAAAATGTTCACTTCCAATGGCTATCGCGTGCCTGGAAGGTCAGTAAGATTCCTGAATTATGGCTTCCTCGTTGAGTTAATTGAAGGAAAAACAAGGTCAGAAAAGAAAATAGCAATTCTTTGTGAAGACGATTTCGTTTGAAAGATCATCCGGAGTGGGATTGCTCTTTGAATCCGGAAGAACGGGAGACTGCCCAAAACATGTGCATCAATCTGGGCAACTTCTTCGCTGTACTTCCATGACCACCTGCTTAAATTCAAGTCTGTATTCGACCTTGGATTCGAATAAAATTATACTAAAAAACTTTATTTCTTCACATCGCTACATATATTTATATATACATAAAAGACAATACCATATCAATAGTTCTTAAATCAATATTTCTTAATTAATTGATTAACTAATTAATCAAGAATCACATCCTATTTTTTCTTCCCTGCTACAGGATAACCTCCACCACCGCCACCTGCATAGCTTCCACCTGCTGGAGGCGGTAGAGGCGGTGGAGGCATTGCAGCATATCCACCTCCTGGCATTCCACCTCCCGGTCCACCGCCCGACGGAAGTTCAATCACTTCGTATCTTTTTGCCATTGCACTGTAATAAACTTTGCTCCACAAGGAAATAAAAAAAAACATGAATGCTTACGCTGGTGCTCCTCCAAATCCACCTCCTGGCCCTCCCATTCCACCGCCGCCACCGGCATATGATCCCATTCCTCCCATTCCTCCCATTCCTCCTCCCATTCCTCCTCCACAGGCAGGAGGCGGACAGCAGCATTCGCCTCCTCCTCCACCACCTCCGCCACCGAACAAACCGGGGATGCACGCCAGTGATGGTGTAACGAGGAGGGTAAGAGTCAGTAAAACAACCTGCAATTTGATTCGAATGACGGAACGAATCTCATAGGTAATCGGAAATCGAAGAATAAAGAGAACATGAAATTTATGATGCTCACTTTTTTATACTACGGGTACTTTACCTATAATTCGCATTTGGGACTTTGATTCTATACAGGAACTTTATTAGAGATTGTAGTGCTTGCAAATTTACGGTGTCAGGTATGTTATCTCTCCCTTTTCCCACCATAAGCTGAAAAAGCTGAAGAAGGGCGAGATGACGTGATTCTGGCACTCTAGGGTCAATTTTTTGAAGATGATTTGTACTTTATTGAACTCTACCCTAAATGAGCGGGCCCATTGCTACGAAAGTATTTCAGAGCCTCTTAGGTTCATCTGCAGCTTTAGATTGCTAGTTGAGGGAACTGGTAACCTCACATTTACAGAAGTAATCTCCACATTCCGAAAGTCACTGGTCCCACTGCAGCAGTAAACCTGGCACTCTCTAAGTAATTACGTAACCACCCCGAATATTACGTACTCCCAGGAAGTATCCAGGATATTCAAGAGGCTATGGTCGAATTTTCCAGAATTTCCAGGGGAGATGACTTGATTAGGAAAGTAAGCGCTACCTGTAACTGTGTATGGAGCAAGCAATTTTTTTTGACATTTGTGGAAGTCAGTAGCAGTTTGTCCTTTGCTTATTCACGTCAGCTCGGATTCCACAGAAGTCATTGATGAAAAGATAACTAGAACGATGAGAAAGATGAGCAGCGGGGACACTGATGGACTGGTGCAACAGGGTGATGGCACTTTGCATGGTGGAACGGTCTGATTATCGAGAGTAATTGCATCACAAAACTTGGAAATGATGTCGAAGGAATTGGTTGTGAGCAAGCAGTCCGGATCAAATTACTTTCGATAGCACATACGGATGAAGGACAGTCTTTTAGAGTCAATCAACCGCGTCACTGGGATGCTCCCTGCACCTGACCTCCATTCAGAATGAACGTGCCCATCAACCGAGCATTACTTCAAACCAAAAACTCCTTCGAATGTGAACCTTTCCGAGTACGTCCGCCATCAAGTGGGGCCTGCAGAGTTGAAATCCCGCAGTTTAGTCCCAACAAAACTGAAATCTTTGGAATAATGACAAAACGTTTTCAGGGACCCTTCGAATGAACAAGTCACCTAAGACTAGCTGATTGAATTCAACAGCGGTGAGACTGAGGTTGACGCTCCACTGGGGGGTTCTACATTCAAAAACTTCAAACTGAACCTTATAGCATTTAAAAAGCGAAAAAGCGACTGATGATGCGATACTCGGGTGTAATACTCGCTTATTACCATTACAATTACCATTTATAATACATCGAGAGCAAGCAAAAATTTCCAAAGCTTGATGATTTGTATAAACAGAAATCGGGCCTTCTGGCCAATTTCTTCTACAGGTGCTTCAGTCTCCCTCAGTAGGCGGAATAATTTTGCATTCTAGCCAAATCTTCTGTGGAACTTGTGAATGCCCCAGCTTTTAGTCTTCCTACTTGAATGGCAATTGCGTAAGCTGTCGAAGGTGGCAATATGGTTAACTTCCCGATCATGCGGATCATATAAGTATTGGAGAGACTCAGCCGCTTCATCCCACCTCGCTAACGTCTCCGAAAGCTCGATGGCTAGCTATTTGATGAAAAAAGTTTACGATCTCGAGTAGCAGTTCATGAACGCTTTAGACTTGCGAAAAGCCAATGAGAAGTCACCTAAGACTAGCTCATTAGGTCACAGAAACTGAGCAAAAAGCCGAATAACTTCCGTAGCCTCGGAAGGATAGGTGGAGGGGGTTTAACAATCCTGCACAATTGGGTATTTGGTGTACGGTGAGTGTCGAGCTGCTCCCAAACGTCTTTAAAGTAATGGTATTGTTAGAAAACGTTCTACGGATGTAAATGGGTGAGTAAAGAAAGAGTGAGGGCTCTAATAGTCTACCCATAGCCCTTCAAAATAACTTGAAGACAACCGAAGAAAGCTGATAGGTGGAATTCAGTTTGGACCGATGGGCATGTCTTGGACGGCTAGCTGTTCACGAACGATGCCGCAATGGGGCAACCCCTCAGCTCCAGCTTTGCTCCATATTCGACGAGGCATCATAGATACTCGTCTTCCACTCTAAATCGCACAGGCTCGTTCTAGATGGACTAACGTCAGAGCAATTTTCTAATTACAAGATTTTTTTTGGATAATTTGATTAGCTGATCTTATTCGGATTCTAGCAAGAGGCTTAAGGCAGCGCAAAACTTAAGCCTGCTCCATAAGTAGTCCATCAACCCGGCTTTTGATGACCTGTTTCTTTCTGAAAAAAAAGCTCTTCGTCTTTTGAAACTATGGTAGTGAAGGAGTTCAACGGTTGGGAAGAATGAAACTTAGCCATCTAATGATCTGATTTCCTTCCGTCACCCCAATTACTGATCTAGTCGTAGTCAACCGAATAGTGTCCGAACTGCTGTAACACCCTATAGATTATGATGAAGGTGGGCCACCCATGCATATGCTTCTGTAAGGAGGTCAAGCAAGGTACTGAGTTAGATCTCTCTCTGAAGGATGGTGTCCTTCAGGGAGAGATCGAACTCGATTAGCAGACCTCATTCAATTTCGAAAGTACATCACCTTTTGACAGCATCTCTCGCCGATAACTTTCCCCATCAGCCCATTTCTCTCCTGACTAAGGTTTTCCTTGGCGGCTGCTGACGCTGATGTTGAAGGGCGAAGGACAAGTGGCTGCTGACGTTTTACTGACGCCGGAAGTTCTTGATGCCTTCCTTTACAGTTGCTGCCGAGAGCCCGCCTCTCTGTCCACTTTAACATTTACTGATTTCCTGATTTCTCTTAAGCAATCAGAACTTGCGGTGCACCGAATAAAATTTATTTCTTAATTGTCCAGAGGTATATTAAAGAAGGGAAGTGGAGCTGGAGAAGTTCCCAAAGGGTCAGTCATTGCAGGCATCCTCAGAGAACGAGTTCAGTCAGGGACTTGCAGGTCTCGCAGTCCTCCCAGATCGGCTTAGGGAAATCAAAGACAGCTGGGAGAGAGAATTACTTAACAATGAATCGGGTGTCTCCAACAGCTGTTTTAGTTCTGGAAGGGTGGTCAACAGGCATGTCCCAAAAGGGTCATAGCTCCACATTCTCATCCATTGCATTACAGAACGATGTGATTGATGTTGTCGCACAACTGCGTGTTCAACAATGTATACATAAATGTTCATTGCTAAGGTGAGACCTGGCATAAGTGAGACCTGGCGCTCTAAGTGTGACGCTATCAGCTTTTTCAACTTTGAAAGTTCCACTGTTAATGTCTCATGATAAGGTCAAAAAGAAAAAAGATAGTTCAACATCAACGGATCTTATGATTTTTACTTATTTTTCCGCCTCGGTAACTAAAAGCACGTGGTGGGCGATGACGATTGAATTTGAACGGCGAAAACCGTCTGAGCCTTCAAGGATCTATCCTGGATCTTTCAAAGCGAGAGAACTGAGATAGCTTAGATGCTACCTATGGCGATTGGTGTCCTCTCCGTTATGGCGAGCATTGTCAGAATGTGTAAGTCATGTTAACCGACTAAATTGAGTGTGAATGGCACCTCCTGACCCATACCAGGACATGTACAGGGCACCAGAGCGTGAGTATTCAGAGGCTTTGAGCTAGTCTTCAGGGTTCAGATTAGTTCTTCTTGACCTTTACTCGTACTTGTGCGAGGGCAGGACAGGTCTTTCTAATATGTAAAAAATTCCCGGACAGCGTCAAGGTCTTGGCAGAACTGTGCTAGGAATCTGTATTTAAAACTGCCTCAACGATGCGAATTGGGTAAAAAGACTCCATCTGGGAACTTGTAAAAACTTTGAGAATATAATCAAGTCACGCTAGTAAGGGTAGAAATCAAAATGAACCAATCGTCTGCATGGGGTTACTACCCGGGCTACACCCCCTTCCCAGTGCCTGAACGTATCAAAGATGGAATTGGCTTTCAAGCCCATCTCACATGGGTGGACTAGTCCACTTGCTAAATACAAAGCTAAGCGTAAGTTGACGCCAAAGCCAACATTCAACAGCTGATACCTAACAAGGAGATTGGTACCTTACGGTCATCTCGGATGATCGGATGATGTAGTCCATTTTTTCTGGATTCCTGAATCCCCTCATTTCCCTGAATTTTGGATCCCTGAATAAAAAGGTGACAGCTGAACCACTTACTTTTGTGCCCTCTTTCTCTATACCGTAACCCGTTGGTGCTCTACATAGCTGCAAATTGGATGAATTATAATGCAAAAGTNAAGTGGCAGTTAATCGATCAGTACGATATTCAGAAAGGAGCAGTCCTACAGGAAAGGCAAAGGCATGGCGGAAAACTGTCAGTGCTATCAATCATGTGTGGGAAGGTACCTATCCTGAATAGGTATGTGATATGTAGGTAGATGGCATAGATGAAGCTGATGTTTGAATAAAAAAAAGTTCATGCTCACCTTAGTTGACATGGTTCAGGCAGCAGAAGCCAAACACGGGCAAGCGGCACAACGGTTTGGACGACTGACCACCGTATTAAAGGGAGTTCCAGCAAAGTCGTAGAAGGAGCGAATTTAACGGAACCGGTTCAAAGTGCATCCACCATCGGTGGCAGGGCAGCTTTCGGAAGGTCTCAACGATATGGATGATCGCGCAAACGAACTTTCTGCCGATGTAATTAACCCACCGTAGTGAGAAAAGTGCTCATAACATTCCATTGCTAAAATCATTAACGTGAATGTTTGTATGAGAACAAACAACTTTGTAGTTTAATAAAAACTTGTTCTTTGGGAAATGCCAATACCCCGAAGTGTCATTGTCCAGTGGAATCGACTTTGAAAGTGGCTATTTTCAAACGTCAATAAATATGTTCATGTACATGCCATTCTTTCGTTACGAGCATTACGCATTCGGCACTTGTCCGCATTTATAGTTAGCCAGCGCTTAGTTCATTGGCAAAAAGCGCTATTATATGCACGTGGTCTCGAGATTAATCCCCGCATTTTGTTCTTTCCTCTCTAATCAGACCTTTCAACCTTTTGAGGTCGTTTGCAACTAGTTATACTTGATTCTTAGCCATAAAAACACCTAATTTGTTCATTGATTCGATTCCTTGAATCATTGAACTGACCAAATTCGTATGAACATTTAAAAGTCACCGTAGTCATTCGAAGACCTCAACGGGTTCCCATCCGGCCTTCGAATCTGATACTAGGAAAGTACGTGAGGGAGCAGAGCCGCTAGCCACTAGCTCAGCTCCGTAAGGCGGTGCAACTACGGTAATTCAGTAGAACCGATACTGGTCATGAATTCCGTTTATAATTACAGTATCCATTTTCATCCATCGCTTCCCAGAACAGCCATGGAGTTTTTAAGATCGAGAAGCAATACCAGACCTTATGAATGGGAGGGAAATGGCTTTTCCCTTTTCTGTACCGAATTGTAAATATGTTTTTTGAGGAAACAATTACGGAGAGGGTAAAGGATCAAAATTGAGGTTGTTGGGACGCCCACACACACTCAATATCCATATGTCCTCTATTCAGAAAGGCTCAGCCCTTACTGAGAGGAACTTGTGGATCAGCTCATGTTGATCTCAACGGGTTCCCCTCCAGCCTTTGTATCTGATACTATGAAAGTACCTGAGGGAGCATAGCCATTAGCCACTACCTCAGCTCCGTAAGACGGTGCAATTACGGTAATTTAATAGAACCGATACGGGTTATAAGCTAATCGCACTCCTAAATAGCAGTCATTCAAACGAA